CAATGTCAACTTATTGGAACACAAAAACACCATTTACAATATAACTTTTTTCCTACCCTAACCCCTTACAAAAACTTCCCCCCCCCCCCCCCCCCCCCTCTGGCCAGTCCCGGGTTCCTACGCGACCACAGCGCGACAGAGGCAAACACTGACCACTCCCCCAGCCTCTCCTCCCCATCCCGGACCACTGAGGCTTCCCTTCCCTCAGACCCGAGACCACCTTGGGTCTGGCAGTGGTGGTCCAGGGGTCTGTAGCTTGGCATTCTGCCCCCCAGGGGGGTGGGGGGGCGTGGGGGAAAGGAAGCCTGAGGAGAGATGGGAGAATAACTCCTCGACCTCCCTGAGGAGCCAACGAACACTCACCGTCCATCCCTAGAGGCGGTGGTTCCGGGTGCTGAAACCGGAAGCGGTCTCTGCACTGTTTGCAGTTCCCCTGGTTACTGCGGGTTTGCGGACCAATGGCGGCGGAGCTTCACTGGCTGAGCCCGCCCTCTAAAGGGATGGCGTTACGTAGGCGCTCTGAAACTCCTCCTCCGATCGCGGGGTCCGACCCGCCTCCGGAGTGGCTCGCCGTCGTGCGCAGGCGCGCTGGACCGGGGTCCTCGGCGGCGAAGTGCGCAGGCGCCCCGGGCGCTACTAACTGAAGTAGCAATGGACGCGCTGGAGTCGTTGTTGGACGAGGTGGCCTTGGAGGGGCTTGATGGCCTGTGTCTGCCCGCGCTGTGGAGCCGCCTGGAGACGCGCGTGCCACCCTTCCCGCTGCCGTTGGAGCCCTACACGCAGGAGTTTCTGTGGAGGGCCCTCGCCACGCACCCGGGCATCAGCTTCTATGTGGAGCCTCGGGAGCGACCCGACCTCCAGCTGCAGGACCGGTCAGCGGCTCGGCCTGGCGGGCGCGGGCGGGCGGGCGGGCAGGCCCAGAGCCGGGGTCCGATGGAGCCAGAGGGGACCAGGTTGTGATGGAAGGAAGGTGGAGAAAGCAGTGGAGCCGTCGGAGAACCGGGGGTCAAATGGGGGTGGGAGCTCTGTGTGAAGCTGATTTGGGGTCCCTCAAGCCTGGCAGGGCCCCGGCGACTGATGGAGTTGGGGGGCATGGTCTGATGGATGTGGGAGTCGCCTGCTGATGTCCCATTATATCGGTGTGTAAGTTTGGGGTGATGGTGAGCAGGACTGGGGGGATATTATTCAAGCTTCAGAGAGTATTTTCCTCTAGAGTGGAGGGTAGGATTGGCGTGGGAAAGCGGTTCAGGCCAAGACTAGAGACCGGTCCTGGCGGGTAGTCAGTGGGATAAAGCGTCGTCCCCATATGCCCCCGCCAGGGCACACACAAGAATCAACAATGCATGCCAATGTGTAAGTAAGTGGAACAACAACTCACTCACTCACCCTCCCTTCCTCCCTCCCTCCCTCCCTCCCACCCTTTCTTTCTAAAGTCAATAAATTTTTTAAAACACTGGATAAGGAGGAATGAGATCTGTATTTTTTTCTTAGCAATAATAATAATAGCTAGCATTTA